AAGGTGCACCTCCAAATTTTATCATAACATGTAATTTTGGTGTTAAAAATTCTTAGGATTATTTAAAAATCTACTTTCACATCTATTTATAAAATTTTAAACTCAAAAAATGGTTAAAATCAAGTAGATCTATAAATATATGAAAATTTTGAAAATTGACGGTCTAGATAATGTGTTACAAGATGCACTATTTTGGGACTCAAAATCTTTTTTATATATATTCATACATCTTGATGTCGAGATGATCAATTAGAGGGTTTTTCAACGTTAAAACAACTTTTTCCAATGGACTTTTGAGGTGCATCTTTAATTCTACATTTTATGGTTGCAACATTATACAAATGTTTTCATATATATATATATATATGCCAAAAAAAAAAATAAGCCCCAACAACCCGCAAAAATAATCAAATATAGGGCATATTTGATGACAACTTGCAATCAGGGAAAGGGAGACGTGGAACACAAAGAAATATTTCAGAGAAAAAGGCAAAAATACAGAAAGATAAATGGGATAAGAAAAATAACTGTAATGATATAGAAAAGATAACAAAACATTGGCAAACAATGGAACAAATTTGGCTTTTTTTTTCCTTTGGAAAAATAGTTTGACTTAATTTGGCTTTTATGTTTATCATTTTGTGAAAAAGGAAAGCAAGAAAAAGATTTCCCTGCTTTCCTTTATTCTTCATTTAGAGATCAAGTCCAATCAAAATAAAAGTATAGAAAGAAGGAAAAAAATCAGGTCAAAAAGTGGAAAGAAAACTAGAAAATGTACTGGAACATATGAACTTGCCCAAAACCGGAAGGTCCAAGAGCACTGTCGGATAGATTCTCTATAAATCTTTGGTTTAGGCCGTTCAAACTGGTTGGACCACTCCTCTATGAATCGCAGTTTAGGGCCTCCAATCACCAGTTCTTCCACTCCAATCTGGTCTGATCGTCAGAAGCCTCTAATGTGTAAAGCTTTAATTTATTCATGTGCGTTCTATTTAAGATATACTTGTGCCCATTTAATTACGGATCCAAGGGGACTCTAAGGGCATCCATCTCATCATCATCATCAAAGCCTTTTCTCAACGATTTGGGGTCGGCTAAGGGCATCCCAATGGGACTTTCTATTTCTAAATCTGACCTCCTTTGCATCCCCATTTATTGGGAAAATGATCATATTCCTCCATCAAGAAGCATGTGATAATGTCTGACGGTAACAACTTTGAAGTTTCAAATGCCTGATGCATGATTGGAGGGAATGTCTACCTGTACATGTTGGTCACAAGAGTTCCCAGTCCATTGAATGATTTACAAATTTCTTACATCTATGGATAGCTATAAAAACATCAATGGCATCGTTCTTTTCTTTCATGCTATTATTTGTTCTTCAGTACATACCCAAACTCAGGCATAATTTTCACAAGCAAATTAGGCATCATGGGGTTTTAACCAAGGCTCTAACACCATGCTTTTCCTCAATGTTCATTGCTGGAACAATAGCTACAAGATATACATTTAGAATAAAAATTTTCACACGATATTTCACAAAATGAGTCAAAACTAGATCACTATGAACACGAGTTAAATTTTGGACTTGAAAAGAACAACACAAACTAGCCTCTCCAGGAATTCAGCAAAAGAAAAATTATCCAAAGTTCCAAACATGCTTTCAAGACCAATGTATAATGGTTTGTACCATGTCATGCTTTGAATCTCAAGACAAGGTTTTGTTCCTGAGACATGTATCTCTCAACTTTAAAAGAACTGGCTTCTATAAACAACTTCAGTAGAAATTAGAAAGGGAAATAATGAAGAGAAACCCGATAAAGATACAAGCAAAGCCTTACTGCAAACGGACAACTCAAGTGTCAATATTACTGACCTTCATCCGGCGTTCATCCTGCTTAAGCTGCTTTGCCCGTGCCCTAACTTCCTCTGGGTCAACCTTGGACTGAGGTCGTACAACAAAATCCAGAGGCAAAGCTTCTGGCCGATAGGTATGCATCCTGCCAGCTGCTTGGCCAGATTTTTGCTCCCTATAGCATTGTTTGCATGTCAATTATGCAATCAAAGATGATAAACCCAAACAAAATAACAAAATGCTGTAAGAAATTAGCAAGTAACATATCAATCAAAGAATTGTGCAATCAAAAAGCTACATGGAAAGTTCAATAAGAATGACAAGTGATTTAGACTTACTGAGAAAATTCGGGTAAATCAAGATCATCATCTCTAGACTCCAATCCAGCAGCATTTGTCACAGGCCTTTTCCAATACAATTGAACATAATGACAACAAATTAAAACAAGGACACCAAAAGAAAAGCTAAGAATTTTCCAAGCAAATAGATGATATTAGCATTAGGGGTTCAGTTATGTACTTCTTAGCAGATGGTCTACGGAAAGGAACTTTTTCATCATCAAAACGCCGCATATCCTCATAGCGGGTGCTCTTTTGGAATATAGGTCGACTCTGCATGTCTCCAAATCCAAAAACATAATACACAGATGAGGAAACCAATTAACATACAAACACAATCTCTGCATTTCTATAAAAAGACAGAATCTAAAGAAGAAAATTTCACTAACTAAATGAAATCACCCACACACTGGTCCAAGATGGAAGACAAAAAAGGAGGTGTGCGATGCAAAACACCTGAAGCATCAAAATCATGAAAGGAACATTTCCTCAAAACTTCTAGGCGTAAAGACAAATAAACTAGGGAACCATGACATACCCATTTATCAACCAATTCCTTTGCCAGTTTCCTATTTGATGTGGTCTCTTCATCAGATCGGGACAAAAACATAATGACCTTGCACGGTACCAAAAGCAAATATTAGTCCCACTACTTCCATTCACAGAATACAAAGATCTGTGAAAAAGGCTAGTTGGTGGCAAACCTTTCCCAAGCCACTTTTTTTAAGTTGTTCTTTCCTGTCAAACTGCTCCACATCAATCGGCAACTGTATCATACATGCAACACAAGCATGTATCAATCAGATCAGATGCATATAAAACAAGCACAGAAGACCTATATTTCAAACAAATACAACTAAGCCTCACAGCAAAGCAATCCAATGAACGAAGTTTAAGCATGTTGAGGTGCAAAAGGTACATACATCAGCTAAGATATTCAGTAAAGCAGTTCGGACATTGATATTGGGCAAACATCCATCTGGCAGGGGCTCTAGCCAATTTTTTAGTACAGATAGCACACCGCGATCTAAAAACTCTTGTTGGAGCTGCCGTCTATAGAAACAGGCCAAATTTTGAAAAATAACTCAAACATCCATAATAAAAATAATGAATAATGTAAATGCATTTTTTTTGGAAGGAAAAACTCAAGTAATTTCCATTACTTTGAAAGGACCTCTGTGAGCATTGGCAACATTTTAAGCTTATTGATGGCAGGTTTGGACTGTCGATTTAGCTCTGCATCTTCTTCAGCAGCAACTTCAAGCCTTGCCATAAACTGCTCAACCAGCATTGCAGTCTCTTCAGCTGACCTCTCACTTTTCTTGTTCCTTTTTTTCCCCATCTTGAAAAGCTGTTTAATTTCCTCGTCCTCCTCCCCCTCTTCTGCCTGATAATGTATAACAATGCATGAAATAATTAATGAACATACACAAACAAAAAATACCTACACTAAGATGAGGGGGAAAAGGACAAAAAAAATGATATTCCTGAGAAAATTATAAAATAATTGATCAACAGAAGCCTACTTATCAAAATCAGTTTTATCAGGACTGGTCATGAAACCATAAGAATGTCTGCTCAAATATTTTGTGTTCAACAGGATGGACCATTTTTTACCCTCAATGCAAAACTAACAAAATTCATAAAATTAAAAAAATCTATAAGAAAAACTTGAAATAAGAAAGAAACGTATGAAATCTTTAACAAAGTAATAACGAGTGGTCATACTAAGGCAAAATACAGAAAAGGCAATTGAACTTACAAGGGAAAGAAACAAAGATGTAGCCTCAATCAATCTTGCAAATAAGTCCTAAGCCTTTTGGTATCTTAAGCAAGCCCGGTAACATATCATTGAATGGCACTTAATTACATAATAAAGGCAGTCAAAATTGACTTGCCCAAATTAATAGTTGAGCTTATCCTTAGATGTCAGCCAGGCAGAGATTCGCTGAAGAATGGTGCCAAAAACAGAAACAAATAAACCAGAAAAGGGGTGAATAGCAGGAAGAAATGTAAAATTGGGTATTGGCGGTTCACTATGGACTGGGTGAAGCGGCTCCGCTCAGAACTGCTTGAACCGTAGGATATAGATTTGATGACACAAATCAAAACAACAATATAAAACAAAAATAATAAGCAAGAAATAACAAGATCACAAAGGTAGGAGCACCTATAGGAACAATAATTTCATTTTCCATCAGGGACACTCTAGGTTAGGCATCAAAGTAAGACTCACAAAAAACTCTTCACATTCAAAGCCATTGCTAGAATCTAGAGAAGCCACTAAAGAGGAGAAGGAAAAGTCTTGCATCAACATATATCTTATACTTTGTAAGTAAGCTATAAAACAGAAACCATTGCACATGAGAATAACAACAAACCTGAGGAGCATCTCCAGCAGAACCGGCTTCACCATCACTCAAATATTGATGAGCTGGTTCAACTCCAGTATCATCAATGAAGGCTTCATCATCCTTAGTCCTAACACCCTCTTGGTCATCCTATTTTTTAACAAAAATGGAAACTAATTAAACGAGATAGTACAATGCTAAAGAAGAAGGACACCATGTTTTCCAATGGATCAAAAAGCAGATCCACATAAATCCCAAAACAACCCAAACCATAGAAAAAAATTTGATAAAAACAAGAACAATAATTTACGTCAACAAGCTAAATAAGGTAGACATAAAACCTTTTAATCAGAGTACCACCAACTGCGCCTCAAAAAGCATGTGCTCATATATGCACATAAACATATAAAGACATAAGCATAGTCAAAGTTACATACATCTATACGTATGTATGCATACATAAAGGAACTATATATATATATATATAACATGCTTGCATGCATGCACGCGCACACACACGTGTGTGTGTGTGTGTGTGTGTGGATGTATTGATCCCGGGGGTACTAGTCTGCACCCAATGGATCAGCATTTGAGAAGACAGAGATGAACAGATGTATCTTGGGAACCAGATGCATGATCCTTTTGCCTTAAGATATAGTGAGAAAAAGATAATATTTTAAGAGTTCAACTCGAACAGTAAAGCTTCAGTTAAGTTTGTACTGGAAAAAGAATATGCAGCAAAGAAATAAAGAGAAAGGAAACCGAATGAGATTCATTCAAAATCAAATTAGAACAGCCAAAGAAAGCATATTCGCAAATGTAGAAAGAGAATGGCCTGGGGCCTTGGCGGTAGTGTTGCCAAGCCCCATAGTGAGGTTTCTGACTCCATTCTCATCAAAGGGTAGGGGCCCAAATCCTCATTGACTTACCACTTTTTTCACAAAAGGACAGGAGCCCAAATCCCAACTGACTTACCCTTTTTTGGCAATGCTACGTCCTAGGCTCAATTCCTACAAAGGGTAGTGGCCCTCTCCCCTCTGACTCACCCAAAAAAAAAAAACAAAAAAAATTAGAACGACCAAAGAAAGGATATTCGCAAATGTAGAAAGAGAAGGTGGAAAGAGAATCTCATAAAAAGGAAACTCATGAGATTCATTCAAAATCAAATTAGAACGACCAAAGAAAGCATATTCGTAAATGTCTATTTACTAAAGGTGCAAAATAGACAGAAACATAAGATTTGACAGGGTTCCATCTTTGGATGGGGAGGGAGAAGATAGACAGTTAGAGTGAGCGAGCGAAGCAAGAGAGAGAGAGAGAGAGAGAGAGAGAGAGAGAAGAGAGAGAGAGAGAGACGGAGGGAGGCGACATACTAGTTGGAAATGAGAGGGTAGTACTATAGAGTCTTGGGTCGTTATTTGGTCGTCTTAAGGGATTCTAGGCATGTAATGTATGAGTGTATATATATATATACACACACACACACACACATATGTATGGATGAATGCGGCAGTAGTGTGTACAATGAAAATCTACCAACCTCAACATTTGAAATTAGAGATCAAAAGGATCGGCGGCTTAGGCAATTGCCATATATGGGAGCTGCTGAGCATGTAGAGAGAGAGAGAGAGAGAGGCCTTGTTTAACGAGGGATCTTAAAGAAAGCAGCACAATAGCAGTGTAGGGTATTAATCAGATTAAAATCACAATGAAGCAATGAAAGATGTCTGGCAATTTGACAGTAGATGATACATTTGACATTTATGCTTTTGGAATCCTTATTGGGATGAAAGGGACGGTCTCTAAGCCAACATGCTTGGAGCATTCCCCCAACCATCTGAAAGATCACATCTTGATGACTCAGTATCAGCAATGAATGCATCATGGGGAATCCAATTCCCCTACAAGAGTTCCCAAACTTGTGTGCTATATCCATAGAAGGTGAGGAGATTTGGATTATTGCAATGCCTTTTCACTTGGTGCATCCAATAGTTTTTCTTTGCCAATTCTGGGTGATTCAGGTAACATTGGGGGCCTGGGGCGGAAGGCAGTAGCCATCTTCATTTTCTACCGTTGGTCGTAGTCCATAAGAAACTAAAATAATAATGTGCATAAATTTTTAATGTAATTATGCACCAGAAAGATATTCATTTCAAATAACTAAAACTTATACTCCTATCATAACTTCAGCCATGAAACCATGATTCCAGTACATAAACACCAAAGGAACTCAATTCCATCCTTAATTTCCACAGATCCAAGAGTTTCAGTGTGACCATATTTCACTCAAAACGATAAGTCAAATTCCAAACTTATTCCCAGATTCAAAAACTAATGGCTTGCAACAAAAGATAAACAAAAATTTCTTTGCAGATACATTTTATAAGATAACTAGGATTCAAACCCTAATTCCCACCTTGAAAAACTAATTTTTCCATGAAACCTTACTTAGAGAGAAAAGAAATTCAGACCTTTTTTTGGGTAAGTAATGAAATTCAGACCTTAATTCCCGAATTGTGCAACTAATGCTAGCTGCATTTTTCTGTTTCACATTTTAGTCATAGATAACTCAAATTCAAAACCCCAATTCTTCATTTATCTAAAATATCCAACGATTCACAAAATCAATCAATCTAACTTTGCAGTATTGACAATAATTTATCGCCAAACACTAACTCCAAAAAATGTAAAAATAAACCCAACTCCAAATTCTGACCATAAGAAGATTAAAAAAACACTAAGCTCGCCAAAAAAAGTCATAAATTGGACAATTTTCCACAAAAGAAGAAGAAAAAAAACAACCTCAGAATCTGCACCAGCAATCGAATCCCACAACTCCTTTATCTCTGAATCACCCCCATGATCCTGCAAACCTTCTTTACCTTTTGAACTCTTGCCAAGCCTTCTCTCTGAAGACTTTGCCCTAATTTTCTTCTCCTTGTGCGCCCTTTCTTCCTTTGATTTCCTCTTCTTGCTCGATCCCTCCTTTCCCTTCAACTTTCCAGCTGAAAAATCCTCATCTTCCTGAACTTCATCAGCCAGAAAATCATTTTCAGGCGAGCTTTCCTTGTTACTCTTCTTTATGAGCCGCTTTCTAGGTTTAGCTTTAGGCTCATCTTCTTCACCAGAATCCATGACTGGCGTGGGTGATCGCTCCGTTCGCCAATCTTCTTCTGGTTCCGAACCCATGTCCGGATCCATCAATGGCTCTCCATCCTCATCACGGTAACTGAATTGGAAAAAAAAAAAAACTAATTAGTATGGAAATTCACGCTGAAAAAAATAGCAAAAAAGAAAAAAAGAATTGGGAAAATCAGTGAAATGAATTGAGCTCACGGATCATCTTCATATGCCATGACTCAGAACTTGAGCTGTGGAAGAAAGATGGATCACTGGCTTCGCAGGGAAGAGAAGGGATTTTCTAGGGTTTTCAGAACGAAAATCTTTATCCGGTGGAAAATCTATGGACTTCCATTAATAGTAAAGGGAAAAATTTATGAGACCCTATACGAGGAAATCCCCATTTAACAAATCAGCACCCTCTGCGCTTCCTTCCAAAGGTGTATCACATTACTCAGCTGGTAAAACCATCACCATGGTTAACTCCATATGATAAAAGAGATATCGGAAATTATAAAAAATGTATCTTAATTTTGGAAAAAGTTTATATAAGGATCCAACCTTGTATAACTACGCATGCACCTTAAAAATTCATGGGAAAAAGTAATTTTAATGTTGAAAAACCTTTGATTCATCGTCTCGACATCGTCTCGACATCGTATGACTATAAAGAATAAAAAGATTTTAAGTTTAAAAAATAGTACATTTTACAACATATTATCCACACCGATTATTTTCAATATTTACATATATTTATAGATCTACTTGATTTTATTCATTTTTTAAATTTAAAATTTTATAATTAAATATAAAAATAGACATTTTTTAAATTTAAAATTTTATAATTAAATATAAAAATAGATTTTGAGATAATCCTAAAAACATTTTACATCACAATTATATACCATCACAAAATTTGAAGGTACACCTTACCTCTACAAGCTACGGATGCATCTTCATGCCAACTGCACCCCTTAATTTTTAAATTATTAAAAATAAACTCCAAACTTTATAAAACTTTATACATAGCCTTTTTTGATGAGTAGTTGAAAACATCACGGTGTATTGAAAATCAAGATGGCCATGGCGGATTGTAAGTCAAATATAGTTTTGAAACATCACGGCATTTAAAGAATCATGACGGTTTATTAGACTATCATGGTTAGAATTTAATTGTCGTACTCTTACCTAAGCAACACTGCTTATTAAGTGTCGTGATGCCTTAACGACCATCACGACTTTTGTCATGATGCCTCTTAACGATCATCACGGCTATTCAAGGGCCGTGATGCCTCAAAACATTAAATCACCTATGACAATCACGGTATAGTGAATCTACTATGATGTCTTATGGTTCTAAGACTACCGTGAATACTATTTTGATAAAAAAAAACATAAAAAGTGAAGAAAAAGAGTATAGATGGGTTTTGAAAAGTTTGTGAATTATTTCCAACAATTTAAAAATTAAGGTATATTTTTTATACTTTTTAAGATATTTGTAAGAAAAATTTTTATTATAATTTTTAGGATCTAACTAAATATAACTAAATCATTTTTTATTCTATTTTCAGACAAAAAAAAAGAATTTGAGTTCCTCAACACCTTGCCCTTTGAAAAGTTGTTTCTTGTTCAGTCAGACATTAGTTTCTTAAGCTCACATAATATGCCATTTAACAAATTTGCTTTCTTATCTCAGTTTGGGTTCTAAATGTATTTTGAGATTTACCCAGGTGAATAAATGAACAGTAGACTCCCCAAGGGAGAGCTCACGCTCACTTTAAAATAGATAAATAAGGTTATCAAATTAGCTAGAAGATATGAACGTAACACTATAGTTATTTCTTTTGATTTCATTTCAAAATATCTATTTTAAACACACATGGCATTGAATTAGAGCGATTGCAAATAGGTAAATTATTGAATAGTTCATCTCTTATAGTATTTTAATAAAGGAAAATTTGGAGTGGTTGTAAATGGGTAAATTATTGAAGGGGTGAATAGTTCATCTCTCTTATAGTATGGTATCAACCTTACAGTAAGGTGCACCTCAAAAATCTATTGAAAATTGTTGTTCCGATTGTGGAAAACCATTAAATTCATCATCTTGACGTCGGGATGCATGGATGAAGAAAAAAATAAAAAAATTTGAGTCATGAAAATAGTGCATCTTATAATGTATTATCAAAGCATTTATTTTCAAAATTTTAAATTATTTATAGATCTACTCGATCCGAACTATTTTTAGAGATTTAAATTTTATAACTAGGGGTGATAATAAATTTTTATTTTATCCTAAGGCTTTTCGACATCAAAACTACATCTTTCGGCATAATTTCTAGGTGTCCTTTATTTGGTTGTTTAAGGTTGGTGCATTTTACAAACCTCAACCTTTTGATAAATTTTTCAAATAGATTTTAGCATTTGTACAAATTAATAATTTATGAGTTAATGAGATATTGGAATTCAAAAATATCATGAAAGTTAATGAAATATTAATGCCCAAATATTACCAATATCTCATTGGGTATTCAATATCAGTTAATAAACATTAATATTATGGGTGGTTTTGAAAAAAAAAAAAAATCATCTTCTCATCTTATTATTGATCCATTACTCAAAATTTTTAGGATTTTTGAAATTAAGACAAGAAAATAATGAAATAGTGCATCTAAGTCTTGATAAACTTGTAATTCTATGTTGTATGACCATTAAAAAGCTATAGTCATAAGTGCCTATAAATGTCAAATTGAATGGAGGTTTGTCTGTTTTTTTTTATAAGACGGAAAAGTATATAAAGAGATCATTTACTTTTAATACATGACTATCATATTCACTCTTGTCCGTCAGAGTTCAAATCGGGTGATTATAAGTGTGTCATTGACTACATTAAAACAAAAAAACAAAAATCCAGCTTTGTATTACTCTCCAGTCCATCCAATTTTACTTCTAATAGCTATTGTCAATTGTAACCCCCTTATATCAAAAATAAATATTTTCATAATGTAAATTCCTAATAAAGATGGCTAATAGCAATTGTACTTTACATGGAACTTCTCATAGCCACTTGCAATACGTACTCATGAAGGTCGTCGCCATTAAAGGGCCCCTCCTTGTCACCACTCGAGCCACTCTTGTTTTGGATGTCGTGACAGGGAGGAGTACAGTATACTTCCCCTCACGAAAGTAGCAGTCATTATGGACTACATTGCATAAAATAACAAAAGATCGCATAAATGTTAATTGATAATAACTGAAATGGGCCAGCCTTTTAAACTTTGAGCGCAATAAAAAGTTGGTGGTAGCAAAAATGAGTTTATTAATCCTCAACTATCATGTGAAACATGGATAGGTTATTACTAAGGGCACCTTTTTTTTTTTTTTAAGTGTGATATTCATAAGGTAATGAAAAGTTACAAGAGGGAAAAAAAAAAAAAACGCAATAAAATAAAGAAGATGAGAATTCAGCTCAACCAAAACTAGGAAGCTGAATGAAAAGGAACAATAGCCATCTTAGCTTAGGAATTCAAATCAAAATTAGAGCCACGATGAACATGATAAAAGGAAATATCACAGTCCCTAAGAGCCGAAAGAATTTCATCCATAACCACACTAAATCTCCAAGGAATGAGATCTAGCTGGAGACACCACGAGATAACATTGGTAGAATAACCATCGATAGTCACCTTCTAGTGCATCTGGCTGGGATGCGACGTGCCCATCTTAAGGGCCCAAAGCTCAACTTCATGGATCTCACAAGGATGAAAACTGCCGAAATAAGACCAGATCGTACAACTAGTATGATCCCCGAAGGAGGTCACCAAATCTAGATCATGTCCCCCTCACACTGATGTCAAGATTGAGTTTGAACCAGCCATCAGGTGGCTTCAACTTGACCCGACGAATAATGGAGTGGCTCTTCCTAAGAACCAGAAGGCCTTTGATATTAGAAAAGAAAAGTAAGTTCGGAATCGCAATAAGTGGAAAAGAAGCATAAGCCTTTGTTACAATAGACCGCTGAATAATTGAGCGCAAAGTGGGGATATCCCTAGCTCTACCTTCAAAGGTTCTCAAATTTTCTCTCTTTCGAAAGATTTCAAAGAGAGGCTGCAATTATAATTCTCCAAAGGTTGACCCTCAAGAAAGCAAAAGGAGGGCTCAACATTTAATGCAAAAGAATATGCATATCCCGAGGCCAGGGTCCATGCCAATTGGAGAGAGTAGCAAGTCAGTCTCATAAGTTTGATGCAAATGTGTACTTGAGGAAGATGTGATCCGCCGTCTCTTCATCCTCTATGCAAAAAAGACAAACATTAATGATAATCATGCCCCTCCTCCAGAGTTCGTCCACAGTAAGCAACCTCTTATAAACGAATAGCCAAATGAAGGATTTAACTATGAGAGACACCTTACAATTCAGAATTGGCTCAGGTGTTGCTTATCCTCAATGTTCATATCCCTCCTGACAACATCATACGGCGAACTAGTGGAGAACTAGCCCTTCGGTTCTAGGCTTTAGATGAGCCTATCTGGTTTTCTCGAAAAGAAACAAAATCTATACAATGCTTTGAGCAAGGGCAAATATTGCTCAGCAACCGTGTAGTCCACCCTTCTTATGGACAAAATGACATTCCGCATACGTTGCCTATCCACAAAGGTGATCATGTTAGCAACCAACTCTCTTTTTTGTCGATTTTCTATAAAGGTTTGGATAGAGAAGTCTCAAATGATACTCTCCCCAAGCCATTTTGCATGCCAGAACATGGTCATATATCCATCACCAACAAGCATCCTAGTGTACGCCAGAAAGAGAGGCCTAATACCTTGGATACCTCGTCAAACAATGAACACATTCACCGATCTTGAGTATCATCTTACATAAGAGCCATCAAGATTTTAACCATATTTGCTAAGGACAACTTTAGCCTATAGTTGGTCACCATGCAAAGAGAGTCTCCACCACCACTTAGTAAGCAAATACTCATTGACATGCATGAGTCTGCGAATACCCAGTCCCCCTTCTCGCTTTGGTAAGCATATTGAATCCCACTTTATCAAGTGGAACTTCTTCTTATAATGGGATCCGCTCTAAAGAAAATTTGCATTAAAGCTTTAACCTTTGCCATTACTACAACTGGTACCTAAAAAAGAGAAAGATAATAAATAGAAAGGTTAGACAAAGTGGCATTAATTAGAGTTCTGCCACCAAAGGACAAAAACCTCGCCTTCCATCCATCTAACTTCACCTGAGCTTTCTGAATGAGAGGATCCCAAAGTGACCTCGGAGAGCTACCATTAAGGAGGGACAAACCCAAGTACTTAGTGGGAAAACATTCAACCCCACAATCCACCAGGCTAGCCCAATTCCAATTTCAACTTCAAAGGTAGAGCGGTTAATCCCAATACGCTTGGATTTGTCCATATTAATCATGTCCCCAAAATCAACTTGTAGAGCTTAAGAAACAACTAAATATTATGTACATATGTATGAGCCCCTTCCATGAGGTTCAACGTGTCAACGGCATAATGCAAATGACTAACTATAATGTTATTAGGCCAAGCATGTAGACCCTTAATCATCTTCATGTCCACCAATCTTTATAACATC